GTGGTAGTTGAGGTAGTGGTAATAGGGTGAAGAGTGATGAGAGGTGTATTATTTGTATTATTTGTTTTTGGAGAAAAAAATGTCCACTTTACTTCTTCCCCGAAAAGAGTAGGAATGGCAAATTAATGTGAAAGGAAAAATTCTGTAAAGTTAAAAACTACATTGGGTTGTGGTCTATTTGAAAAATGTAGCAAACTGGCCTATAATTGAACACTATTAAGTATATCGACAAACCATGGAACTTTCTTTTATCTTGTAAAACTGCCTCATTCTTTTACTGGCTGCATTAGTTTAAGGTTACATGATTGTTCAATTGTTTTATTTAATGTTCACTAAACCAGTATTTCTTAAACTATATTCTGTAGAATGCTGGCGTAATCTTAATTACAGGGTGGAAAAATAATTCAAATATTTATAGAAGCCGCATGACAATAGCAATGGCAGATTATGCATCATTTGTTGTTTTTTCATTCTGAGTTTAAATTATTTAAATATTTTCTCTAAAATTTTGAAGAAAATGGTTAAGATATTATGCTTATACATTATTATGCTTGGTGTTTTATTATCTGAAAGTCTAAGAACCTGTGAGCTGAACAATGTAAGAGAAGTCAATTTAGGAGAAACCTGAGAAGAGATTGTGGGTATTAGAGCAAATAATTAATACTGGTCTTGTTTCTACCACCAACCAACCACGTCACTTTGGACATCAGTTGCCCACTATGGACATCAGTTTCTTCTTCTGTTTTTATTCCTCTATTTTGTCACCTGATCTTTTAAAAATGAAAGATTTTGTAGAAGCCCTGTCTGCTCACCACTCCACTCCCACCCCCAGATGGGGCTCTGCTATCTTGGGTTCCATGTAATCTGTTTGAAAACTGGAGCTAGCTGACCTCCTGGGTCACTTCTCTGGTTTGGAATTTTTGATTCTGGTCTGGAATTCTTAACCATGTATTGGTGATTAGTGTTAGGCTAAGACCTTAGCTTCTGTGGGCAGCTATTTCATGAGCCATGTTGTCTACATATTTTTGGTATTCTGGTTGCACTGTAATAACTTTTTTGTATATATATTTTACTAAAAGCTGCTTTAAAATTTTCTTTGGCATCAGTCAAGGAATTATCAAAATATTTAGACAATTCAAATTACTTTGGATTTCAAATTACTCAGTGTGGGTTTCTACTGCTCCTCATTTATTAGTTAAACTAAAAATAAATATTTAGAAAGAATCCAAAGTATGTATTCTATATTTTCTTTTACTTGCTTAGATATCATCATCACTGAGCAAGCAACTAAAAGAGTATGTTGTAATGAGAAACGATGGTAATTTTCAAATAATAGAATATGTAAATATCACAGCTGTCAGGACTTTGACTATCCTGAGCAAATTTTTCCTTGCTGGTCCAACAAGAGATATTTTTCTTTTTTCTTACAGCAAAATGATACAAAAAACTTTGTTTTCATTGCTTTTGTTTCCATCTGAATCTTCCATCACTGCTTTTTTCTGATCTCAGAACTGGTCATAGCGGGTCACCACTGGCCTGCATTCAGTTCTGGGACACACTTTCTGAGGGGCACAGACAAATCCGAGAAGAGAGTGTTTGGACAGCAAGGTGGTCAGAAGCCATGTAATTTAAGAAAAGGTTGATGAAAATGGGGATTTAAATCTGGGGAAGACTGAAAGGCAGAAATGGTCCAAGGGAGCTCCCTTTGCATTTTTGAAGATATAACTAGTCCAAGAGTGACTAAGGGTGTTTGGTACAGCCTCAAGGGGCAGAATGCGAATGAGGGTGGTGACCTATTTGGGAGCTGCCTCCAGCAGTGAGCTTTTTAGCTCTTCAGGTGCACAACCACAGGCTGTGGGCTGCCTCTCAGGTCATTGGAGTTAGGATTCAAGCAGTGCTTTCAGAGTTAGACAAAACGTTGTTGTTTTCAAACCTGAGACACTTCTATACTTTACTGTAAAATTTCTATGCTTAACATTACTTTCCTTTTCTACAGTTGAGTGACATCTTAATTCTCTATTTCCTTTATGTGTAAAACAAGGTTATTGTTGTTTAAAATAAAAATCAATTCCTAACATTTCTATTAAGTAGGGTGATTGTAAATAAGTTTTTTTCCATTATATTCCTCTATTAGACTGTGAAATCACACCTTTATTATGAAACTATACAAGTAGGAACATTGACCTCATGATAATTGAGAGAATAAAGTGTTTTATGATCTCATTAGAACCTTGACATATCTGTGTGCTGTGTGTGCACTATCTTGTTTGCATTTTTCTTGTAGAATTTTCTATAGCATTTAGGTTGTGCAGATTTTGGTTTAGAGAGATTTAGTTATACTGACAATCCCTTATTTTCTTTTCATGAGACATTAAAAATACTACTTATAGAGACTTATAGTAACAATTGGAGGACAATAACTTCTAAAGTTTCATTATAATATTCATAATGTAAATACACTAAATTCATATTGTAAATATACTTCTTCATTTTGAGTTCTTAACTTTAAGGACTTCTATTTGTTGCATTATAATTCATTCCTTGTGACCACAGTTTCTGAGCAGGAGAATTATATGAAAGAAAATGTTTTGTAAATTCATTTTAGAAAATAACAAGAGGGTGTTCAATTAAATATGCCTTCTCTGAATGTGCAAATTTCGAGTTCTTTTCATTTGATTATTCTGTGAAATTAAAAGTTGATGCGTTGAATGAGAACATGGACTTCTTTTTCTAATGCAAGTTTTCTAGTACATTTGGTTAAAAAATTGTTGAAATTTGTGAGGCGAATTTAGATTTTACATGAATTTTAAGTCAGCAAATTTGGAAATAGATCTCTGTCATCGATTTAATTTAGCCTTTTAAACAAAGTCGGTAAGTTTATTGATACATTCATATAGTTTGCTTTTCTGTATTTTTGTTTTCCGTATAAAAATCTCAGAATTTTTCAAGTAATAGTTTGATTCGGCCAACATGATTGTTGACATCAAGATTTGGGGGAATAAAAATCAGGCAAAATTCAACTAATTGTGTAAGTACGGACATGTTTGAGGGATGCTTCCTTCTTTAGAACTTGGTAGTCATTGCTGGTGCCTGGTAAAACATGAAATGCCTCTCAATAGGGTGGAACACTCGTTACAACTGGTCTTTTCAGGATTTTTACAGTTTTAAAAATTCGTTGAGATATTTTTCCCTCATGTGACGGTGAGGTGCCCTTTAGTGATTCTTCCAAGCTTTACATTTATGTGGTTCTGGCCTTAGAGTTTAAAGATTTAGATGTTAGGGTAGGTTTTTCTTTTTATCTTGCCAGGGAATGTTTGATTAGAACGAAGACGTTCCGAGTATTTTTTCTGAATATCTAAGTACTATCGCTTATCAACTTCTGTTACTGTTTAGGTTTTTGGATAGCCAGCAAAGCTTACTGAGGGGCCGAGGCCAACGACTAGAGCGTTCCTCGCTGGCCTCAGGGCGCTCCTTCCAAGTCGGGGAGCCGGCTCCTCACTTGGGCGCCCTCCTTCTCCGAGGTAAACAAGCGACAGCAAATCCCAAGGCGGCGCAAATCCCTTTCTCTTCCTGGAGAAACCACTCACAGCGCTCGCTCCTCTGATGGTGGGTCTGTAGCGCCGTTTTCAGTCGGAAGAACTGCCCTCTAATTAGGCAGGTCTGGGGGACCCTCAGCATTAAAGTTGTTCAAACAGTAGGAGGAGCCTCACTGAAACCAGTCGAGGGCTTCTTTGAGAGCAACAGCTCCCTGCAGCGCTTCAGCTAAGTCTAGGTAAAGAAATTCTTTTGTGTTGATTTCCCGCGTGGACCAGGGGCCCTCCCCTCTCCTAGGCTGATCTCCCCATCCCCACCCGCCCGGCTCCCGGACCAGAGCACTACAAAGGTTAGGCTTTGTGATGACTTTGTGCCCACCGCGGTGGTGCAGAGAGAACGTGGGGAACCGCATGGGAACGTTATCCCCCCCGTGAGAACAAAGCACAAGTTATATCGGAGTCCAGTATGCGTAGAGAAAACCACCAGTAAGTGTTCTTCTGAGCTACGAGGTAGCGCTTCTCTACTATTTTTTATGAAGATGGAGATCTGTCAGTGGTGAGGACGGAGGTTGGTTGAAATATTAGCTGTAAGAAAGGCTGGGCAGGGAGATCTGAGGTCCTTGAGTGTGTGTGGGCGTGCCTGCAAGAGTTTAGAAGAGCGTGGGTGAATGGGCGAGAGGGAAAGAGAAAGAAGAAAAATATGGAGTGGGATTAGATTTAGTGGCTGCAGAAAAGGAGGGACGCAGGGAAGCCACAGCAGTACCCTCCTGGACATCTACTTCCCGCACCACGGTTTCATTCATAAGTTTCTGGTCGGCAGGCCCCTCCCGGCTCCTCTGGGCCGAGGCCCCGTTTTCCTGTACAGTAATTGGTGGACTGTAACAAAGCCTCAACAACCGGCTCCTAGTGACCCGCGGGGCGCCTAGTAACTGAGGCGCGGGGCGGAGGGCGGAGGGTGGAGGGCGGAGAAAGGAGCGGGGCTGTCCCTTTAAGGGATGGCCGCGGAACCGTGAAAGTGGAGGGGGCTGAGGCGGGCGGGGAGGAAGGTGTGGGGGCGGACCTAGGGGGAGGAGGAGGAAGCGCTAATGCCGAAAGGAGGTGGAGAAGGAGGGGCCCGAGCAGCTGCTACCAGCCCGCGGGCACCGGAGACCTGCCGGTTGCCGCAAGAGTAGCCACCGGCGCGATCGGGGCCAGACGTCTCCTACTCCATGATCACTTTGGGAGCCGGGGAAAGACTTTGCCCGGCCGTCAGAGCTGGTCTGCGTTTCCCAGGCGCGGCGGCGGCGGCGAAGAAGCTGCAGCCGGGTCCAAGTCCGAGCGGCCACAGCCCGGAGCGTGTGCGCCCCGCGCGGAGCGGGCTCGGGTTGCCCACGGAATGTCCCCGGGGCACCGGGCGCGCTGACCGCCCAGCCGTCTTCGCCTGCTGCCTCTCTCGCGCGGGCTGGGGGTTCGGGACTGCACGCTTCCTGGCTTCTGGCCTGTGGGGAAGCCCCCGGGGGCGGGTGACCTCAGCTGGCCACGACCCAGCCGTCCCCCGTGCGTATCTTGATTAAGATGGCAGCGGAGTCAGGGGAACTAATCGGGGCTTGCGAGTTCATGAAAGGTGAGGAGCAGCAACCCCGCATCCACCAACCCTCCCTCACGCTCAACTCTGCACTTTCTCGCCCCTATGTTCCAGCCACTGTCCCCAAACTTTTCCCGAAGCCCCCGGTGACCTGCAGCCGCTTTGCGCGTTCGATTTCCTTCTGTGTACTATCATCTCCCCGAGGACCCCCTGCTTCCGGCTTCTCTGTCTTGCGTCCCTCGTTCCCTCTGCAGCTCGCACGGATGGCCTCCCGGCGCGGTAATGGGACAGCGCCGGCTACTGCTAGCTCGTGCTGATGCTGCTCTGGGAGATCTTTCTGCCTTTATCCCACTATGTCTGGCTTTGGCTTTCGGGACACCCTCCAGCAGCACCCCCTAGTCTCTCCTCCTCTTCCTGAAAGCCTCCTGAGCTGCAGGGGAGAAGAGAGCCCCTTTCTTCCCTTCCTGCAGCTGCTGAGGTCTGTAGAGTTCTAAACCAAACTTGCACCTCCAGTCCTATGGCACCCCTAGCTTCTATCTGCTTGCGCTGGCTTGAAACAAGGAGCCCCATTTCATCGCTGGGTCCCTCAGCCAGGTTCTCATCTGCGTCTCTGCTGTGTGCTCTTGAGTCACTGGCCATTTCTGGGAAAGGTCAGGTTTCTGCAAGAATTACATGTGCTAATGGGGTCTGTAAATAACGAGTTGCAGTTGTTATTTTTAACCTTCGTGCATTTTCACCATCCCTCAGGTTCAGCTTCCCTACTTCTCACGTTTTCTCCTGGCTTTTCAACTTGTCTTTCAGATCGTTTATATTTTGCTACTCTAAGGAACAGACCAAAAAGCACAGTGAATACCCACTATTTCTCCATCGATGAGGAACTGGTCTATGAAAAGTAAGTTTCTCTTTTGTTTTTTTCTCAACTATTTAGCTTGTTGGCTCTTTGGGGAGGACACGCTATGCACCTTTATGGCAGTTTTATTCACTTCCCCTCAGTGGTGCAAGAAACAAAACCAACTTTGTAAGGCTCAGGTGCTTGGAGAAAGGTGCAGGGAAAGGTATGATTTGAACCTGTCAACACCTTAGTCATTTTAGATCTCTCTCTCTGTCAGTTCTTTCTACCACCAAGACAAACTGCAAGTATAGATTCCCATCACTTCCCAGAGTAGGACCGGGGAGACATACACTCTGTCCTTGCTGGACTCTGTAATTGGCCTGTGACTCAGTCACTGAATATTCATGGAGCACCCACAGAGTGTAGGGCAGCGTGTGTGTATTGCAGGTGATTCAGTTTTACAGTTCACAAGCCTTCTGTTGTCTCTCAGGATGTTTTTGGGCAGCTAGTTTTTGCAAAGTGGGACACATTTAGCTGGAGGTAGCTGTACCTATCATATCTATATGTAAGATTTTACCTGTAAGACAAATTATTGGGTTATTTTATGTGGGTGCCCCAAGCTTCAGTTTTTTCTTTGCCTTTGAGGAAGTAGTATGGGAGTGCCGATTTACTTTTTCAGTTACTTTGCTTCTGTGGGATTAGGATTTGAGAGTATAAGATAAGAGTAGGGAACTGTTTTCTGTGAAAGACCATTGATCTTGGGGAAAAAGATACTGCAATACTTTTAGTAAAAATTTAAGGAGAGAAATCTCTATTCAATGAAAGCAACAATAATAAGGAATGAGAAGGCTGACTTGACTTTATGACCTTTTATTAAAAGAGTTGGTGTTTCAGATAGTCTAGTGCCGTCTGACATAAACATGTAGTTTTACTTTCTTATTGTCTTAGCAAACTGCAATTAAATGAACTTGGTGAAGTGAACCTAGTCAGTCTAGTAAACCTCCTTGGACTTGTCCTGTTAAAAGGGATTTTGGCAGTTCTGCCTGAGGATTTGTGGTGCCACCAGGCATTTGAAAAGAGAGAGTATTTTCGACCTTCAAGAGCGTATCTTTTATTTGAGGGCAAACAATCTTTAATTGTCACTTCTTCATAGGGATTCTTCAAACTGGTGTCTTCAGGAGTTGCTCTTGGTGGTACTGGGAGCAGGATGCGTCTTGAATGGCTGAAGTGCAAGTGGGGATGAAAGAGCCCTTTGCTGCTGCTCTTGAATGCCCAGAGTGGCTGCAGCAAAGAGGTCTAAATCCCTGGTGTCAGATTACAGCTCTGCCCCTAGACAGAATGGAGTACTGCAGGGCGGGCTCCCTGACCCGGTGCCTGGGCGGCGGTGATGTCCCTGCCGCAGCCTCACTGAGTGTTTGCTCTACTGTTGGGAATGTGCGGTGCTGTGGCTTCCTTTTGGTGAGTTTGGAGTTTGGGGACTCCTTGTGAGTCTGAGGGTAGGGATGGTATATATGCCCTTATGTTCAATTCTGCAGTGACTGACATTCCAGAGGCTGCTGAGATGTCATTGAACAAGCTCCTGTCATTGAGGTCTGAGTTGCTTTTGTTGGGATTGCTAGATGGTGGAGCTAGGAGAAAGTTACACATAGCCAACTATACACAGTGATCAGTGGCCTTTTGATTCCAGTATTGATAATGTGAGGCACATTTTTTGTGTGATTATGATGTTGGTATTTGAGGGTAGGGCCACAAGTCACACTTCTCTCATATTTATTCTACTGTATTTTTGGTGTCTTGTGAAGAAAGACTTGTTGGAGAGATCATCCAATTTATATTGTGAATTTGATGTCATTTGAAACTATGATGAGGACTCCAGTCTGGCAGGGTATATATTTCATTTCATTTGTACTTGCATAGCTCCTGAGCCACAGCAGTGGCTGTGGTGCTGATCACCCACAACTCTATTGTTTTTGTTGCCCCAGTATATTACACACAGTTAGGTGATGTGGATACAATTGATGATAAATGACGTGTTACCTTCCAGCAGCTGCAAACCTGTAGGAAGAATGACAGGACTGCAGTGAGACGGGTAGAAAAGAGAATTGCTGTAAGAGAAATGTGACCCTTGTACTAGGGGGAATTTACATGTGTGTGGGAGCACATCTGCTGGAGGGGTGCCAGAGTCTTCATGGAGGAGTTAAGATTGGCTTGAGTGATGGGCAGAGTTTTATCAGGCAAGGGTGTGAGAGGAGAGATCCCAGGAGCGAGAACAGCAAGGACAAGGAGGGGGCGCTCTGGAGTGTGTTTGGGGAATAGTAAGTCCTCTGTGTGCCGGGTGTGTATACAGGGCACATGGGGATGCACAGTATGAAGCTGAAAGGTCGGTTGGGGGCAGACTGAAGGCCGTAGTGAGGTCCAGCAGCTTCCATGGTGCCCCATGGGCATCTCCTGGGGGTTTTGGGACAGTCCCTTGTGTGACTGCCTCAGTGCTAACTGCAAATAATGGCTAACATTTACTGAGCATTTGAATGCATGCCAGATGCTGTTCTAGGTGTTCCACAGCTGTCACAGCAGATTTGGGAAACAGGTTCCATTATCATCCTCAGTGTGCAAATGAGGAGGGTAGGGTACACAGAGGTTAGGTAAGTTGCCCAAAGTCACAGAAGTAGAAAATAGCAGAGCTGGAATTGGAAGCCAAGTCCCCTGGCCCTGGAATACATATATCCTCTCTCAGAAAATTAATTTGATAGCATCATTTAGAGTGGATTAGAGAGGGGATAGAAGCCCACTTAGAAAAATTCCAGAATGTTCAGGGGGAAGAAATAAGGGCCTAGAGATTAGGATTGGTGGCAGTTATGGTGGGAAGAAGGGATCTGAATCCGTGTGATTTGGCAACAGATCAGGTGGGTGAGTTGTTGGAGTGATAAGGAGAAAGAGGAGCTGAAGAAGCCGCTATGACAGCCGGGGTCACAGTGAGCCAGCTAGGGCCATACTTCTTCTGAAACAAGAAGTAGGGCGGAAGAATTGTCTCGAATGGAGAGATCAGGCATTCTGATTTGGTCAGGTTGAGTGTTGGGAATTTAAGGGATATCCTCTTCAGTGCTGAATATCACATACATTTGAAGTTACTAAATTACAGAGTTTTCCCTGAAGAGACGATAAAGCTGTGAGCATGATGTGATTTCTGGGGAGAAAGGGAGGCTATCAAGGTCTGTATTTCCCAGACAGGGCCAGGATGAGAGGAGCAAGGGAAGGAAATAAGCAGCCCAAGAGGTTGACAGCCAGTGAGGGAGAGAAAGGAAAGGGAGAGGGACAGAGCAGGGGACTCCCATCTTGTCAGCCCCACTTCTTCTTAGAGGTAGAGGGATGGCAAAGAAGCCTGTGTGGTAACCTGGGCTCTCTAGGGAGGGTGTCTTGTGGTGAGGAAAACCTTGACTGTCGTGTCCTAATGTACGTGTCTCTAAAGAAAGAAGTGTGTTTACATACATTGTCATACTGGGCCTTGTACAGCCCTGTAACTATATACTTATTGGTTCAGTGAGTAAACGAAATGCTGCCTTTCTGACTAAATTATCACCTTGGAAATGCAACTATTATTTTTTAATCAGGAAGTAGACTCTAACTATTAGGCTGCGGGTACAGCGGACACAGCTGTGTTCTGTGCAGATGTTTATTTAGTTCTAAAAGGATAATAGGGATCCATGATTGAATTGGCAACCTTCTGAGAATCCAGTGGAGAAAATTTAATAATGTGGCCTCACGAGGGAAAGCTATTTATTAGGAGCAAAGGCTTGAATTTTCTGCTTAATTTTTAAACAGAACTTACCAGGCTAATATAAAGGCCTGAGCAGTTTTAGGTAATGTAGTTGATAAGAAAGCATACATTTATTCTTGAATAATGATTTTGCAGATCAGAACTAAAATCAGAGTATAGGCTAACACACTTGTGGGACAAAAATAACCTCACAAAAGGGGAACCTTTCACAGATTTATGTGTATTTAATTAAGCTACAAACAGGGTAGAACTCTCCAGAAAGGCAAAGTCTTTGGTTTTAGAATTGGGCCCTATAATCCAAATATAGGCTTAGTTTTTATAACTTGGCTCAAAGGAATTTGATGTCATTTGAAACTATGATGAGGACTCCAGTCTGGCAGGGTATATATTTCATTTCATTTGTACTTGCATAGCTCCTGAGCCACAGCAGTGGCTGTGGTGCTGATCACCCACAACTCTATTGTTTTTGTTGCCCCAGTATATTACACACGGTTAGGTGATGTGGATACAATTGATGATAAATGACGTGTTACCTTCCAGCAGCTGCAAACCTGTAGGAAGAATGACAGGACTGCAGTGAGACGGGTAGAAAAGAGAATTGCTGTAAGAGAAATGTGACCCTTGTACTAGGGGGAATTTACATGTGTGTGGGAGCACATCTGCTGGAGGGGTGCCAGAGTCTTCATGGAGGAGTTAAGATTGGCTTGAGTGATGGGCAGAGTTTTATCAGGCAAGGGTGTGAGAGGAGAGATCCCAGGAGCGAGAACAGCAAGGACAAGGAGGGGGCGCTCTGGAGTGTGTTTGGGGAATAGTAAGTCCTCTGTGTGCCGGGTGTGTATACAGGGCACATGGGGATGCACAGTATGAAGCTGAAAGGTCGGTTGGGGGCAGACTGAAGGCCGTAGTGAGGTCCAGCAGCTTCCATGGTGCCCCATGGGCATCTCCTGGGGGTTTTGGGACAGTCCCTTGTGTGACTGCCTCAGTGCTAACTGCAAATAATGGCTAACATTTACTGAGCATTTGAATGCATGCCAGATGCTGTTCTAGGTGTTCCACAGCTGTCACAGCAGATTTGGGAAACAGGTTCCATTATCATCCTCAGTGTGCAAATGAGGAGGGTAGGGTACACAGAGGTTAGGTAAGTTGCCCAAAGTCACAGAAGTAGAAAATAGCAGAGCTGGAATTGGAAGCCAAGTCCCCTGGCCCTGGAATACATATATCCTCTCTCAGAAAATTAATTTGATAGCATCATTTAGAGTGGATTAGAGAGGGGATAGAAGCCCAC